ACGCGGTGTTCACCCCCACACCCCCCCCCCCCCCCCGTCTTAAATGTTTTCAAGCCGTAATTAAAGGGTCTCATTTCTCTGTTTAATGAAATCAACTCTGGCACACTATCAAAAAAAATAAAAAGCACTTTTTATATAAACAAACACTTCAGCGAGTGTAACGAAGCTCTTTGTTCTTCCAACCTGCCGAACATCCATCACCTTAGAGAAAACGCAGCGAAATATGTAGAAATCACTGTGCAATTATACCACGCTGATTCAGTGACCGAGAAGAAAGAACGTCTCTTCCTCCCTTTTGTAGAGTCTTCTTTAGTTGTGATTAAAGGGAATAAAATGTTATGGGCAGCAATGACTAAAGAGCTGATTTCTGTCGCTTTTTGATGCTTGGATATTCAATTAACTGTCAAATGACAACATGGCCACTTAGGAAATAACGGCTAGTTGAAATTCAGGCAAACGGCAACTTCACAGAAGAACCAAAAGTGGTTGTAAAAAAAGAAAAAGACCGCCAGGCATATGTAAGGAAAGAAATGATTTATTACACTTTATATTCATGGGAAAGATACTAAACTTATTTTTGAACTGTACCTATAGTGGCCCCTAGCTATTTCTTATCTGCTTAGTGTAAGTAAACCATTACCGGGGGAAATGTTTATTAACCCTTGCAGTGAGCCTACCCCCATAATGCTGGTTTATCTCTAGGTGCTAAGAAAAAAAACAACCAAAATTATACACTTTATATTCACAGAAAAGATACTAAATTTATTTTTGAACCGTGCCTATGGTAGCCCCTAGCTACTTCAAATCTGCTTAAGCTGGGTTCACACCTGGGCGTTTTTCAGCGCTGATCGAAGCGCTGAAAAACGCTCAGCAAGTGAAATCCCATAATTTCCTATGGCCATGGTTCCCACCTGGGCGTATTTCAGAGCGTGGAAATGCGCTGAAAAACGCCCTACGCCCAAACAAGTACAGGAGCTTCTTTGGGGCGTATTTCCGTGCGTATCCATTGGTATTCCTGAGTGTGGCTCGGGGTTAACAAAGCGGTAACCCCGAGCCACATTCGGGAATACAGTGTAGGTCTTACCTTGTCCGCGATCCGCGCTGAGTCCTCCGGCCGCTGCCGTCTTCTGTTCCTTGCGAGCGTCCGCGTCGCAGGGGGGGCGGAACCGGCAGGAAGTTTGAAAGTGGAAAAAAAAACGAAAAAAAAAACGGAAAAAAAAGATAGAGAAAATAAAGGGAAAAAAAATAAAATAAACCATACCGCCGGGGAGGTATAAAAACGAGCGTCGAACGCGCGTTTCACTGAGCTAAAAAACGTGCTAAAACGCGCCTAGAGTAACGCCAGGTGTGAACCCAGCCTTAGTGTAAGTAAACCATTACTGGGGGAAATTTGTATTAACCCTTGCAGTGGGGCTACCCCCACACTGCAAGGGTTGCCTGCTCATTTATGTCTAGGGGCTAAAAAAAAAGTTATACTCACCTGACCCATTCCAATCCAGATTGCTCTTAGGCCGGGTCCCTAGAGCCCCCGCCCCCCCTCCTCTGCAGCAGTCTAAGAATCCTTGTTTCCTCATGCTGTATACAAGTGAATAGAACTGAAGACGATGAGGAACATTCCGTCTGTGTAGAAGAGGAGACACGCTTCAGTGGCCAGAGAAGCAGGGAGTCCGCTTGGCAGTTTGGGTGAGTATAACTTTTTTTTCTAGCACCTAGACACAAACGAGCAGTTAACAAGCAGGAGGTACCCCACTGCAAGTGTTAATAAAACTTTTCCCTGGAGTTCTTCCTTAATAGGAGAACCACAGAGACAGCCATTGCTGACCTCCTCTTGAAAATGCTAGTTGCCTGGCTGTCATGCTGAACATCTTGCTTCAGTTCTTTGAGTCATTAACCTGATATGAGTCTGCAGATCAGGACTTTTTTACTGCAACACTTGTGATCTGCATACTTCTGGACTGATGATTCAAAGTACTAAAGCTGGTAGCTCAGCTAACAAACAATTTGAATTTTCAAAAAGGTCAGCAATCGTAATCTACACATCTTTCTTATGACAAGTTTTTACAGTAAGCCTATCATATGAGAACTATGAAGGGTGCCATTGTCGGTCTCCTTCTGAAAATCCTAGTAGCCTGTCTGCCATGCTGACCCTTCCACATGCTGATATGAAACAAGTACATAGATAAGGAACATCAGAGAAAAGTCATACATCCATATCTGCATGCTTGTTTTGGGTCTGTGGCTTAAAGCACTCGAGCAGTGTCAGTACAGCCGCCAGGCCACTAGAATTTTAAGAAGGAAAAATTTGCAATGGCAGCCTCCAGATTTATTTCACAAGATTCCTTTAACGTTTAAAAAGAAAATAAATAAATATTATACTGGCGACACCACTTTTCTGGGATTCTATGGCGATCATGTGACCAATGCCCAGGTAAATGGTCAGGCAATCTCTTCTGCAGTGGAAGATCTGAGTGCAGATTGGCTGATCCGTCCCTCTGAGCAGAGTGCACATTATTATCAAATGTCCAGGTATTTGATAAGCTGACTAGCCACTGTTGGATGCCAGAGTAGCATTTTCTATGGTCAAGGCAATTCTGCTACTTTCTATGACTTTAAAGTGGCACTCTAGTCAAAGTGAACTTATAATGAGACTGAACTGAATTCATTAAAATAAAATTCATTGGTTTGTCCAGCAGTCTTCAGTTCCTTTGGTGTCCCTCATTAATTTGCATTCCCCAGTGTTGTATTCTCAGGATCTATGAGAGGCTACTCTGGAAGGGTGAGAGTGACGTGGTGATGTAGCAGGCCGTTTGAACAGTACCCAGAACAGCACCTCAAAAACTGCCTGGGTTCTGGATTACTTGTACATCACCCGGGTTGCTTGTTAAATTCTGCGCAAGGGCAGTATTAAAGGAGAACTATGGGGTGAGTGCTTTTCACTAAGCCTCATAATCTGAGCCGACCTGTGACAATGAAACTGTCACAGGTCGGCTCAGTAGATCGGGAAGTGAGCGAACACATACCGTCGCTCGCTCACTTCTCGATCATCTCCCTGCAGAGAGCCGCAACGGTCACTCACGACTCCCTACAGGGATTCCCCCCTCCCCTGTCCGATCCTCCAACGCTGGCTGGCGAAACGGACGGGGGAGGGCACAGCTGGGTGGATCCAGACAGTATTGTCGGGATCCGTCCCGGCTGCAGCTTCTCAGTATACCGCGAGCTGTAGCTGTATACTGAGCTTTGGGTCACGGGAGAACGCTGTTTGTGTTCTCCCGTGACCCTTAGGCTGGGTTCACACCTGGGCCTGCGGAATATGCGCGTTTGCCGCACATTTCGTGCCGCACGTTTTTACAGCGATTTGCGGTAAAAGAAACGTGCGACAAACGCGCGTTTCCGAGGGCTATCTGGCTGTATCCTAATGGATACGCAGGGCAAATACGCCCCAAAGAACCTCCTGTACTTCTTTGGGCGTAGGGCGGTTTGCAGCGCGTTCCTACGCTCTGTAAAACGCCCAGGTGGGAACCATGGTTTTCACATGTTGAGCGTTTTACAGCACGTAGGAACGTGCTGTAAAACGCCCAGGAGTGAACCGGGCCTTAATGTCAGTCCCAACGATTAGACTAGTTCACTGGTGCACAGCAAAACACAATGGAAACAAAATGGCGAGGATACCCTTCTGTCTGTGACTGACAAATGTTAGCTCACTATTAAGTTGCAAGATTCCATGGCTCTTCTTTAAAGGGAAAACAGCTTTTTTTTTTAGTTACATAGTATTTGGGGTTGAATAAAGACATACGTCCATCAAGTCCAACCCATATAGGTCCACGC